GCAGCACCTCCAGCAGCACCTCCAGCAGCAGCAAGACGAACGCGACCAGCAAGACATACTCGCAACCGCCCTCAGGGGCGCTGACGCAGCAGCAACTCGGAACGCCTTCTTCGGCGCCGTGGGCGCCCAAACAGCAGCAGCAGCAGCTGCTGCTGCTGCTGCTGCAGCTGCCAGAAACGGCGCCTCCTCCCCGCCGTATGCCCTGCAGCCACAGCCGCAGCAGCCGCAGCCGCAGCCGCAGCCGCAGCCGCAGCAGCAGCAGCAGCAGCAGCAGCGGCTGCTGCCCGAGTTCAGCGACAGCCTGTGGCCCAAGGGCGCAGCTCAAAGCTTCTCGCTCGGCAGCAGCGGACAGCAACAGTCCTCCGAAGCTTCCTTTAGTCAGGAGCTGAAAGAGCTCAGCGTGCTGCTGCAGCAAGACACGCAGCAGCAGCAGCAGCTGCTGATGCTCCTGCAGCAGCTCGAAGCAGAACAGACCAACACCCCTCGCGGCCGCGTCTTCTTCTCAGCTGAGCTCCCAGGGGAGCCCTACGATGAAGCTGAGGCAGCTTTGCACAGGAACACCATCATGAACAGCAGCAGCAGCAGCAGCAGCAGCGGGGGCTGCAGCAGCAGCAACGGCAGCAGCGGCAACAGCGGCAACAGCGGCAGCAGCGCGGGCAGCAGCAACGGCGGGCTGGCGCAGCAGCGGCGCAGCCGCAGCAAACTCAAAGCTGCTCCTGCTGCTGCAGTGAGCGATCACGTGAGCGGCGCTGGGAACCTTGGGGTGTCTGTACACCCCACAGCCTTCGGGGACTCTCTGGCGTCCTTCGAAGGCAGCCCCTCCCCAGCAGCAGCAGCAGCAGCAGCAGCTGGGCCCCCAGCAGCAGCAGCAGCAGCAGCAGCAGCAGCAGCAGCAGCAAGCGAGGGCTCGGAACTCCCTGTGAACCTGCATGCATTGACCACCAACTACACTATTGCTGCGCAGTACCTGCAGGTGCTGCAGCTTCTGGCAGTGCAGCGGCAAATAATGGAGCTGACGGAGAGTCTGAAGACAACAGACCTGCAAACAGCAGCAGCAGCAGCAGCAACGGGAGCAGCAGCAGCAGCAGGGCGGGCGCCGGGAGCGGAGGCCGGGGGCTTCTCTGGGTCTGCTGCAGCAGCAGCAGCAGCAGCGTTGTCCAGCTGCTTCGGGGGCAAAATGGAGGCGCAGTCGCTTTTGAATCAGCAGCTGATTTTGCGGCTAGCAGCAGAAGCAGGTTTGTCTAGTGCTTTCCAAACAGGAAGCCCCAGCAGCAACGGAGCTGCTGCTGCTGCTGCTGCTTCTTCTGTGTCGCTGCTGGGCGAGCTCGAGCGAAAGGTCTCGGCGCTGGAGTGCCTCGTGGTGGGGAACCGTCCGGCGGGCCGGCTGCAGCAGCAAACAGCAGCAGCAGCAGCTGCTGCTGCTGCTGCGGCGGGCAGCAGCAGCAGCGGCGCCGCGCTCACGTCGGCGGCCGCCGCCAAGCGCAAGGCCGAACTCAGCAGCAGCTGCAGCAGCAGCAGCGGCAAGCAGCTGGCGCTGAGCTGCTTGACCCCCGAAAGCCCCGTCGATGACTTCGATTCTGCTGCTGCTTCTTCTTGCTGCTCTGCTTCTTCTTCTTCTTCTGCATGCAACACTCCAGACTCTCTGGGCGGCGAGCGGCTGCTGCTGCTGTCTTCGCTGTGGCAGCCGCTGCCCCCGGCGGAGGGCCTTGCGGGGAAGCTGAAGGAGTAGCGGCCCGCAGCCCCCGCTGCTGCTGCTGCTGCTGCTGCTGCAGCGCGGGGCGGGCCAGGGCCCTGAATGCAGACATTTTGAGCTGATTTGACAGCAGTCTTCTTCTGCCTTTGTCCATTCGCGTTCACACAGGTGGCGTTTGAAGTGCAAATTTTTGGGATTTGTTTGGCCGCAGACAAGAGGGATTTCAAGCCGTCCAGCTCCGTGCTGCAGCAAAAGAGGGGCAGCAGCAGCAGCAAAGCCGCGGCAGCAAAGCCGCAGCAGCAGCAGTGAAACCTGCAGCAGCAGAACTGCAGCAGCAGAACTGCAGCAAAAGCTGCAGCAACAGCAGCAGCAGCTGCAGCGGCAGCAGCGACACCTGCAGCAGCAGCAGCAGCAGCAGCAGCACGGAGTAACAGGGGCCCGCGAGCAGCTGCTGCTGCCCAAGCCGTTTGAGGGAAACTTTTGGGATTTTGAAGAAAGAAATTCGCAGGCGGGTCCCTGCTGCAGGTGTTCAGGTGTACGTACAGTGCACGTTTGTGCCACTTTCGCATTCGGCGCTTTTGCTTTCTTCCCGAAAGCACTCAGCACACGAGACCCTGCTGCAGCAGCAGCAGCAGCAGCTGCTGCTGCTGCTGCTGCTGAAGACGTGCTCCGGGCAGTGAAGCGGGCACGCACTGAGCACAAGAAGAGCCTTCGGAGCGGCGAAGTGGCGGGGTGTCGGAGAAAGTGAAGAGCATTTAAATCGAGAAAGTGCATTTAAATTCATTTAAATCTATTTATATTTCCAAATTTATTTAATTTATTTCTTCCACTGTTTCTTATGTGGCGCGGACCATTTGAAAGAACTCGAGGCGCCCTGCGGACCTCCGGCGCGGGGATTTGCCGAGTGTACGTACACCCCACAGCCCGCTTCGCGTTTGCAAGGTCCAGCAGCATTTGCATGCAGCTGCTGCAACTGCAGCAGCTGCATGCAGCCATTTACAGCTGCAGCAGCTGCACGCAGCCATTTACAACCGCAGCAGCTGCACGCAGCTGTTTATAACTGCAGCAGCTGCACGCAGCTCTTCGCAGCTGCAGCACGTGCATGCAGCTGTTCACAGCTGCAGCAGCTGCATGCAGCTACTTGCAGCTGCAGCAGCTGCATGCAGCTGTTTACAACTGCAGCAGCTGCATGCAGCTATTTATGACTGCAGCACCTGCACGCAGCTATTTATGACTGCAGCACTTGCATGCAGCAAATCCTAACTGCAGCACTTGCATGCACCATTCAGCTGCAGCATGCATGCAGCTGTTCCTAACTGCAGCACCTGCATGCAGCTGTTTACAGCTGCAGCACTTGCGTGCAGCTTGCATGCAGCTGCTTACAACTGCAGCACTTGCATGCAGCGCTTGCATGCAGCTTGCATGCAGCTGCTTACAACTGCAGCACTTGCATGCAGCTATTTATAACTCCAGGTAATTCCGGGGCCCCCCGCCGAGCGGCTCTCGAGGCCCCACTCTTCCATAACAAAGCCTCTTCAAATTTGCCAATCGCGCACTTCTTCCATCGCTACCCAGCTAGCTAGCTAGCTAGCCAGCTAGCTATCTAGCTAGCCAGCTAGCTAGCCAGCTAGCTGGCTAGCTGGAGATATTGCTTGTTGCCAGGCAGCGGCTGTGTTAGGTGCTAGCGAGACAGTCCTACTTCTGAACAGCTAGCCAGCAGCGACCGAGGCCCAGTTAGGCAGCTGAGTGGCACTGGGTTACAGCTAGCTGTGGCTAGCTACGACAGCTAGCTGTCACAGCTAGCTGTGCAGGATAGCTGCGGCCAGCTGTGGCTATCTGCCACAACTAGCTGTGGCTAGCTTTAGCAGCTAGATGTGACCGCTGGCTGTGCGTAGGTGTGACAGCTAGCTGTGGCTAGTTGCGACAGCTAGCTGTGGCGGGTAGCCGTGGCTAGCTGTGGCTAGCTGTGACAGCTCGCGGTGGCTAGCTGTGACTGTTACGCTAGCTGCGGCAAGCTGTGACAGCTAGCCGTGGCTAGCTGCGACAGCTAGCTGTGACAGTTGGCTGTGGCTAGCTGGGACGGCTAGCTGTGGCTAGCTGCAACAGCTAGCTGTGGCTAGCTACGACAGCCGTCTGTGGCTAGCTGTGACGGCTAGCTGGAGCTGGCTAGCTACGTGGCGAGCTAGCTAGCTGAGTACTGATAACATGAAGTGCAAGGATTGCGGCAGGCCGAAGATGCGCACGTGCCTATTGCTACGTTTCTGCTGCTGCTGCTGCTGCTGCTGATTTAAGAACTTGTATTGCAGAGGTAGTAATTCAAACTTGCTGCCTGAGCTGCGCTGCAGCTGGGGTGTCTGTGCACCCGTTGGGGTGTACAGACAGCAGAAAGAAACAGCCAAGAGCTGCAGGAAAGAAATTACTCTTTAGAAAGTTCTCCAGAATATTTTTAAAAGACCTGTTGGCTCTCTGAGTTTGTAAAGAAGAAGAAGTATCAGCTTAATAGAATAGAGCAGCCGAGCTCCTGCTGCTGCTGCTATTCTCTCGCTGCTGCTGCGGCTCTCTTGCTGCTGCTGCTGCTCTCCTTATGCTGCTCTCCTTATGCTGCTCTCCGTATGCTGCTGCTGTTCTCTTACTGCTGCTGCTGTTCTCTTACTGCTGCTGCTATTCTGTTCCTGCTGCTGCCAGAATGAGAGCCCCAGCAGCTCCCGCTGCCCCAAGCAGCACTGTGTCAACTTCAAAAGGCTTTTCGTGAATACCTGCAGCAAAAGGGTCTAGGCCACTTTTCAGATTTGCTGCTGGGTCTTCTGGAGCAGCTCTTATTTGCTTGAGACTCAGCCGCGAGAAAGTAAGGTTCTCGCGCGCTGTCAATTGTCACCTGCTGCTGCTGCTGCTGCTGCTGCTGCAGGAGCAGCAGCAGTGGGAGCGGCTGCCGCTCGTTCACTCGTCTTCATCGAGTTTGTCGAGGAAGAAAGTGTAGGCAAGAGTGTCTAAAGGAAGGAAAAGGCGGGGAGAAACACTTTCTTCATTTTCTTCCGAAGGCACTGTAGGACCTGCACGGCCTGCACGAGCAGCGAGGGTGAGGCTGCAGCAGGCCAGCAGAAACACGAGAAAGCGCAGCATTATTGCTGGAAAGCGAAGCAAATTCGACCTGAAAGGGATTAATTCAACGAAATATTCCACACTTCAAAAAGAAACAATTCAGAACAAACAGAACTGATGTTTCCGCAGTTTCAGAAATAGAAGTGTCATTGAAGCGGGCGTGGACTGCGATAGGTGACCATCCGCAGTGTCTGTACACGGTGTGCAAACCAGCTGGTCCTGACATAAAGTGACGGAAATAGACAAAATTGAAGAGAAAAATCAATTTTAAAATAGATTTTACCTATTTATTTTCTTTTATCTTTCATTTTTCCCCCAGAGTTGACAGACTATGCTACCGTGAGGGCAGTTTCTCCTCAACTCCTCTCTGCCTTCCATTTCATTTCACAACCCCTTGACCAGAAGGACCCTGAAACTTCAGCGCTGAGCCCCAAACTCAAACTTCAGAGATTTTTGACTTTTTAGACTTTTTCTTTTTCTTTTCTCCTTTGAAATGCCTCAGTTTCAATTTAGTTTGAACCTACATAGCCCTAAATGCATTTCCCAGCCAGCGGGCAGATCAACAGGGCTCGAAAAAGTCAAATATCTCCTTCGCAGCCTATGCTTTAGGGTTTAAGGTTAAGGGCTTAGGGTTTAGGGTTTAAGATTTATATTTTTGATATTAATTTGCAATCTTCTCGAAGACTCCGTACCACCACGTGCAGCCTCGGTGCACACAGCAAGAGCTGCGCCTCAGGGCTGCTGCACAGCTGCTACAAGTTGCTGCCAATTTAAAACAAAAACGAAAAATAACTTTTAATTTAAACAAGTAATTGCTGCAGCAGAGCAGCAGCTGGATTGCGCCCCTCAGGGTCACCTGCAGCAAAAGCCCCTAGCAGCAAAAATGAAGTCCTTTTGCTGCAGCAGCTGCAGCAGCAAATGCACGAAAATTCGTGCAGCAAATTTCGCACTTTTGCTTCTTGGCTTCGGCTCAAGCAGCAGGCCAAAGCAAATGAACTAGCAAAGAAAGTAGCAGCAAATGAAGCAATTAAACTGAGTTATAATTGAATATAAATTGTATTATAATTGAATTTAAATTAAAATTAAATTAAATTTTAATTTTAAATCGAGCTAAAGCTTTTTAAATTGCGCCAAGTGCTTCTTCAAAAGGCCCGGTCTCGAGGCAGAGTGGCGTAGAAGTCCCCCAGGAGGTTTTCGCAGAACTCTGCGACGGAAAATGCGAAAAGAGAAATGGAAATAAAAAAGAAAAACGAAAAAGATTAGCAGCAGCAGCAGCACTTTAAATGAACTAGAAGGGGAAAGGAGAATTAAAAGAAAAAGAAAAAAAAAACAAAAAAAAACGAAAAAAGAATCCAAGAGACACGAAACAAACTGCAGCAATCTTCCAAGTTTCGATTAATTTATATTTCCTTTTTTTAACTCTAAATAAAGACTTTTGAGGCTTTCGAGCTGCTGCCGTCGACCCTGCGGTGTACGTACACCGCAGCTGCGCACCTGGGACGGAAAAGAGCAGCGAGAAAGTTTTGGGAGAACTCAAAAGGTTTTGAACTGCTCGAGGGTCCGGGGCAAAGCGCGCGAACTCCTTGGCCAGCAGCCCGGCGGGCTCGAGCTGCGGAAACAGCAGCACAAGGGGCTCGCTGCTGCTGCTGCTGCTGCTGCTGCTGCTGCTGCTGCTGCTGGCTTTGGGCCGCGGCAGGTGTGGGGCCCCATAACGCAAGTGCAAATTTAAGGCCAGAAAAGGTGCATGCAAACTGCTGCATGCAGCCCCGGACAGGGCCAGCAAGTGGGGCTTTTGGCAAAGTTTGAAATTCCTTTTTTAGACTTTTTTGAAAAGAATTTTGTATTCTAATCTTCTTAAATGCCCCGGGATTTGCAGCTTAAGGGCAGGAAAAGAGGAAGAAGAAAGGAAATAAGTGCAGGAACAACTGCTTCAAACCCTAAACCCTAAACCCTAAACCCTAGGACTTAGACGGACGTCGGCCTCCGGTTGCGTGGCTTTGAGTTCGTGGGTGAAGTAAATCATCTTTTCGTAAAGAGACATCACCTGGGATAGAAATAAAAACAAAAAAATAGTTTTTTGGAGTTAATTAATTTATTTTATTTCAATGAATAAATCACCATCCAAAAGTACATAACTTGTGGCTCTTCTCCATTTCATAATTCGTAAATCCTTCTTGAACAATTTACTCTTCCTAAAATGCTTTAAAATGCAAAAACCTAAATTCAAATATTCACAAATCGCATAAAATTGGGGTGTATGTACAGATCGTGCCGCTGCGAGACCTGCTTGGCAACTTCTTCTTCCGTCATTTCATTTTCGCCTTCTTCGAATTTCATTTCCAAGAACTCTTTGGGACGCAAAGACCAGTAAGTTGGCATTAGCCTGTAAGTGCGCTGTTCAAGAACAAAGCAGCAGCAGCAGCAGCAGCAGCAGAATTAAGACAAAAAGAAGTCTTTATCAGCTTGTCTCCAACTCGAGAGCAGCAGAAACTTGTGGCAGAAAACTGGAAGCTGGTGCTGCAGCACTAATTAACAAAATAAGTTTTAATTCAAAAATTAAAAATAACTTTAAAAAAAATTCACGAAAACAAACTCCAAAGAAAAGAAACACTAAATAAATGAAAGCAGAAGATGAAATTCCACTTTCGAACGAGTGCAGCAGGGGCTGTACGTACACCCCAAGCAGTGAAACTGGAAACACGAATTAAATTGGAAATTCAGAATTAAAATTAAAATTTTAAATTGGCAATTGTCAATTGTAATTTTTATTTTAATCCTGCATGCAAGAAAAGAAATAATCGGCAAAAAGGCAAAGAAAGCAAGAGGCTGGAGATGCATTAATGAAATGAATTGCTGCTGCATACAGACTTGCAAAAGGATGCAAATTCAAATTCAGGAAAAGAGGAAAAACGGAGTTTGAAGTTCTTCAGTTGAGATTCTGCTGCTGCTGTTCTGCTGCTGCTGCTGGCTGCGTGCAGGCTGGCTCTCGCTGCTGGTGCTGCTGCTGCTGCTGCTGCTCGCTGAAGAGCAGCTCGTTTGCAAGGTCTTACGCAATCTGAAAAGAACAAAACCAATCCTTGCTTCACTTTCTGAGACTGACACAAAGTGTCGAGCCAGCGCATGCAGTTCATTACGCCCGACGTGAGGCCCTGAAAACAAAAATGCAAAAAAAATGAAATAAATGAAAAAATGAAAAAAGTGGCGCCGCCGCCCCCTCTGGGGTGTACGTACCGGGGTGTACGTACACCTGAAAGCGGTGCGCAGGTGCTCCGAAAGAGTGGAAGGGACCTCTAATTAAATGAATGCTTTTAAAATTGAATATATTTAATTCAATTAACATAATTAATTCGAAAACAACTTACTTCCAGCAGCAAAATCGCAAAGTTCGCCATGTACAGCCCAATGCCACTTATGGCCTTTGCCGAGTTCTCTGCTGCTCTCGCTCTGAGTCCTTCTGCATGCAAAGTTTGAAGTTTTTTAAATTCAAATTAAAGTATTTCTTTTATTAAAATGAATAAATGCAGCACGTCTTTTGAATCAAATAAGCAAAACAACTCAGGCGCTGCTGCTGATTCAAACACAGAAAAGAGCCCAAGTTAATTGCTGCTGTCTGCAGCAAAAAGAGCCACAAGATTTGCTGCAGCAAACAAATGCCCAGCCAGCTGCAGCAGACAGCGCGGCCAGCTGCAGCTGCAGCAGCAGCAGCAGCAGCAGCTTTCAGCTGCTGCGAGCAGCCGCGCAGCAAAGCTGAAAGCAATTCACTTGAAAATAAACTTGGAAGGATAAGAGCCACCCAAAGCAAACGAAGTCTCTTGCTTATGCAGAAGCGGCAGCAACAGAAGCAGCAGCAGCAGCAGAAATGTTACCATTAGTGCTGTTGCAAGCTTTTGTGCTTTAAGTTCAAGGAAAGAGCTCGTTTAAGTGCTTGGAATGCGCAGGGAAATAAAATCTGAATTATTATATGTGTGTGATAAAATATAATTATATACAAATATATATAAATAATATTTGAAGTTTAATTTCAATTATCAAAACGAAATTTCAAGTTGCAGCTGATAACTAATAAAGTGCAAGAAAGTTGAAGAGCAAATTAAGATTTTGGATTTAAGCTGTTCAGTTATTGAAAATAAAAGAATAAATAAAATAAAAAGTTAATAAATGTGCTGGAAATGGCTTTAGAAAAATATAGTTGTGGGGAACTTGACAGAAAGCCTCGTGCACAGGAATCTTCAGGTGTACCTACAGCCGAAGGCTGACATGGGGAATCTGGGAATTGATGAAATGCATGAGGAAAGCCGCGGGAAATAGGGGAATTATGAAGTTAAATTAAAATATAATTTATCTATTTATCTTTATTTATATTTATTTATTTGCTGAGACTCAAACTTACCTTCCAAAGCATTAAATTGAGGGTCTGAGTCATCCGCAGTCAACACAAGCAGCAGCCGCGCCTTCCACGGCTGCACAGAAACAAACTTCAAACAAAACAATTATAATTTCTATTTCAATTTTAATTTTAATTTTAATTTTAATTTTGTTGTTTTGCTGCTGTGGCTCCCGTTGAAGCAGCAGCAGCTGCTGCGCTGCTGCTGGCAGATATTCAAAAGTTGCAGCTGCTGAGAGTGGAAAGTCTTTGCAAATTAAAACGTCAAAAGAAATTCCATTTACTTTTCGTTTTCATGCAGATTGTTTCTTTCTTTTTTCCGCTTTTCTTCATCTTTTCCACCCCATATACATACAGATATAATATGATTTATATATGATATTTTTATATATCTATTCGTGTATATATATATATATATATACATATATATATATATATGTACATATACATATATATACATATATACATATATAAGTACATATTAGTGGGTACAGCTGCATGCAAGTTTAACAGAAGTATCTGAGCAGTGCGGTTTGAGGGGAATTGTGTTTGTGTGCATGCGTTTTTAATATTTTATATTTATGGAAAATCATTTATAATTAACTGGCGGTGTTTTGCTGCTGCTGGAATGCCTCTGCTGCAGCTGCTGCGGTGTATCTGCAGCAAAAGCTGCACTGCTGTTGGCACTTGACACTTTTTGCAGAGAATTGTTCAATATCTGCCGTATTTATTCTCTCTTTTGCATTTAAATAAACAATTTTTGTTGCCAAATTAATTTAGTTCTCCAATAAAGTGATTTGATTTGGAAAAACTCGAAAAAATTGCAAACCAATTTGCTGAATTGAATCCAGGGCGCTGTGTCTTGAACAGCAGACGACAAGATACGGATTTTCCACCATTTACTGGTCTTTTAAGCCTTTATTGTATTTAAATTTGATATTTATTTTCTTTTATTTAATTTTAATTTCAAGAAATGTACATTTGCAGCATAGGACTCCTTGATCACGTCCAGATAGGATTTCAAGTTTTCGACGGCTCGCGGATCGCCCGAAACTTCCGCCATTTTCCCTTTTGCCAATTAGAGGATCGAAATGAGAAATTAAAACATTTTTAATTTCTTTATTTATATTTCAAATTAATTTAATTCAACTCCGTCGGCTCAAGGCGGCCCCGCATCGATTCAGATCCTGCAGCAGCAGAATCTGCCGCGGCAAGCTGCGCCGCTATTGCGGGAAAGCCCCCTAATTAGCGGCTAATTGCAAAATAGCTGCACCCTAAGCCTTGCATTTTAAACCATAATGAATAATTAATAAATTTTAATTCCTAAACTCTGAAGGGTAAGCCAAAAGAAAGCAGCAATGACGCGTTTCGTGAGCAGCTGCTGCATCTGCTGCTGTCGTCTGGAACTGCTGCAGCGCGACGCAGCAGAAATCAAGTACAACTCGGGGAAACACCGGCACAATTAACAGTTAATTTTGTTTTGTTTCACCTTTTTCTGAATTTCATCAAATAATATTATTTGAATTCCATCAAATAATAGCTCCTGCTCCCAAGGCTCTTCGTGAAACCACTGCGGCAGATGCAGCTCCAGCCACTTCAAGGCGAGCGCCTGCGCCACTTTGTGCCGATCTGACGTTCAAAAGCAAAAACTAATTAAAATAAAAAAAAAGATTTAATTATATTATTTAAGGCGAAACAAAAAGAAAATCCGGCTCAAATCCACACTTTTCCCATCCTGTCGTCAGCAGCTGCCCAGCTGGCTGTCTGCACAGCAGATCCAGCTACGGAAATAAAAGCTTTAGAACTCTATTTTCAAGTTATTTGTTATTTAAAATAGAAATAGTATTTCAAATAAGGTCTTTTTATCCCAAAGATCCCCTGGCCTGCGGCCAATAATTTTGAATCTGTGCAGAACTTCGCACAGAAACATGAATTCTGCAGCCCGAGGCCTCTTAAGACCTCACACAGGCCCATTTCACTTAACTTAAGAAAGCTGCAGGAGCAGCAAATCTTTCTCGTGCAGCTTTCCGCAGTTTACAGCTGCGGGGGGCTGCCCCCCCGCTGCAGCTGCTGCTGCTGCTGCTGCTGTTGCGCTGCAGCAGCGGCAAACACATATATATATTATATATGTATATATATATTATGTAATATATATGTATATATTGTATGTATAGAAAATTCATGCATAGCCTTTTTCTTGAGGGCCTAAAGGCTTTATTTGCAGAATAAGTTGAAGTAAGAAAGGGCCGAAGCTGCTGCAGCTGCTGCAGCTGCTGCAGCTTTGGCCCTTTCTTAGCAGCAGCAGCGGCTGCAGCAGCAGCAGCTGCAGCAGCAGCAGCAACTGCAGCAGCAGCAGCAGCAGCTGCTGCTGCTGCTGCAGCTAGTGCAGCTAAATGGGAACAGGGGTTGCTTTCAGGTGTACATACAGCTGCGGAGTCTGCGAGCTGAATTGAATTCTGAAAAGAACATTTGCTCGAGCATGCTGCAGCAAGTAGTTCATTTAAATTGAATTTAAATAAATGAATTCCTTTTATTTAGTTTGAATAAATAAAAGAGAAAAAAGAGGCAAGTGCAAGAAAACAAAAGCTCCTTCTTTGCTTCCAAGCAGCAGCAAATCCTTCAAAAGTTTTGCAGCTTTTTGAAGGGATCTTTTAGTGCATTAAATCCAAAACTGGAAAAGCGTCTTTTGTTTATTTCTTTTTCTCTTAATCAATTTTGGGGCTTTTTTAATTTCAACAAAGAAGAATAAAAGCTTTGCATGCATGCAGTCCAGTGCTGCAGTGCATGCAAGTGAAGCTAAAAAGCCCCATTTATTTCAAAACATTTATTTATTTATTTATTTATTTATATTTGAACAAATATATATTATATTACCTTAATAAAGTGGAGCTGCAGAAATGGGGTTTTTTTGCTTCCCGCAGCCCAGAAGCGCAGCGGAGTTTTGCTGCTGCTGCAGCAGCAGCAGCAAAATCAACCTTTGCTGCTGCTGCTGCTCCGAGCTGCTGCAGTGCCGGCTATTCAGGAAAGATGGCCTGCGGCAGCAACTGCTGTGGCTAACTTGAGCTGCTGCATGCATTCAAGCGGCAAATGCATGCAGCTGCACGCATGCAGCAGCATGCATGCAGCAGCAAGCAAAATACATTCATTTCAAACCCTAAAAAGGCGTTTCAGAGCTGCTGCTGCTATATTCGATTTTGAAATGAACAGCAGCTCTAAACCCTAAACCCTAAACCCTGCGGGTCCCCCCTTTTAAAATGAACCACTGAGGCGCAGCAGCAGCTTCTGCGGGCTAGCTGCTGCTGCTGCAGCACCAAGCAGCAAAGACAACGAGGGCTTGCTGCTAGGAGTTCCTTTTGGCCGAATCAGTTCTAACTACGAACTGGCCCTGAAGCAGCAAACGCTGCAGCAGCTGCAGCAGCTGCAGCAGCTGCTGCTGCAGCTAAAGCTGCTGCAGCTAAAGACTAAAGTGCTGCTGCTCGGGCCTTCTGAAAAGTGGCAATGTGGGGCAGCAGCAGCTGCTGCTGACTTTGCTGCTCCCGTGTCTTGTGCTGTGGGCTGTAGGCGGGCTGCTGCAGCAGCACAGGCCCTTCAGGTGTCTCGACAGTTCAACTTTGCTGCTTTTTTCATTTCTCAAGTTCTTCAAACTTTCGGGCCTTTCAAAACTGCTGCTTCCTGTCTTTTGTGCTGCTGCAGAGGAGCGCAGGGGCTATTTTGCTGCTGCAGCTCAAGCACCTTCGCCGGCTTCCCGCTGCAGGAGCCTGGCGGCTGCGGCTGCTGCCTTGTGCTTCAGCAGCAGCAGCAGCAGCAGCAGAGGGCCCCCCGGAGTTTCTGGGGACTCGTCATCTAAGACTCAGCGCCTTTTGGTGTTTTTAGTTTGCGAAATGCTGCTGCTGCCAGCAGCAGCAGCAGCTTGCTGCGCTGCTGACTGCGGCCCACTGACCTCGCAGCAAGGCTCGCGGCGAACAGGTGCGGGAGTTGGGGATCTCCGGGGGGCCCTCGGGGCTTTAATTTAATTAAACTGGGAAAATCTAAATAATAAATATAAATAAAAAGCCGGGGGGTCCTGGGGAGCGTCGAATTGAAGTGTTTGCACAGTGGATGGCGGCGCTCTGCACACAGAGTCACCGGTGGCCCCAACGGGGGCCTCGCTGCTGAGACTGGGGCCTCTAGACCCCCCAAACTGCGTTTTTTTGGAAATAAATATAAAGTTCTGTTCAAATAAATTAAAAAAGCCGAATTGGGCTTTGCGGCGGCGGCGCTGGGCCCAGTTGCGCGGCCCCATTCCAGTAGCAGTGTCTGCCGGGTGTCTATACAGCTGGGAAATCGCCGCACAGGCAGCTCGCCAGGAGCTCCCCAGCTGGAATTCTTCAATTCAAAAGAAAGAAAAGAAATAAAACTGACAAATTGGGGAGGGAATTCAAAGAAAGAAGTGGAAAGTGGGCGCAGCAAGTGGCTCACCACCCCATGTGACCATCTGCTCCGCATCCCACGCAAGGCACTGCAGCGCCTCGCATGCATGCAGCAGCAGAAGTCGCATTGAATTCAAGTTTATTCTTTTAAATTCTTTCCTCATTTGCATTTCATCTGCAGAAGCTGCGACCTCTTCTCCTAATTTTGACGCAGCTTCCCCGAGTCCCGCGGGCGCCGCCGCCTGGACAGCGTGCTGCAGACACCTGAAACGCGCAAAGTCGCGGGGCCCCATATCTGCGGAAACTTGGCGTGCGCAGCAGCGCAGCAAACTGCAGCAGCAGCAGCAGCAGCAGCTGCAGCAGCAGCAGCGGGGGCTCTCCGGCCTCGGGGCGGCGCCCAGCCGCGATGTGAAGGGCCTCTTTTTGCTGCTTCTTCTTGTCTTTTCTTTCTCCTTTTCTCTTCCCTTTTTTGCTTCTTGCTGCTGCAGCATGACTGACGCAGAAGCGGCAACAGCTTCCCCCGCCACCACCCCCAGCAGCGGCGAGGCGGAGGACTCCGTCAGCCCTGACGCCCCTGCTGCTGCTGCTGCTGCTGCTGCTGCAAGGCGGCGCCGCGCCTCTGCTGCTGCTGCTGCAGCTAGCAAGCTGCCCAAGGCTAGCCAGGATGGGGGCTCGGAAGCAGCAGCAGCAGCAGCAGCAGCTGAAAGCTCCCAGGCGCGCAGCAGCGCAGCAAAGGCAGCAGCAAAGGCAGCAGCAAACGAGATTGAAAACACAACTAATTGCTGCTGCCCTTCCAAACTGGATTTCTTTGACCCCAATTCAGACATAGCGAAATCTCCCTACAGAGGATTCGCCACGCTTCTCTGTGAGGCGCCCGCTGCTGCTGCTGCTGCTGCTGCTGCTCTGCTGCTCTGCTGCTGCTCTGCTGCTCTGCTGCTGCTGCTCCGCTGCAGCGAGAGCAGCTGCAGCAGCGCGAAGAGCGGCAGAAGCCGCAGCGCGCTTAGCAGCAGCGTAGCACCCACACGAGCAGCAGCCGCAACACGAGCAGCAGCAGCAACACGAGCAGCAGCAGAAGCAGCAAAGCAGCAGCTGCTGCGCTTGTGTTTGCCTGCGTGCAGTCATTTGCTCGGCTTTTTATTTAGTGGCAAACCCTGTAATGCGTTGGTACGAAAGGGGAGAGTACTTTGACACTTCGGTGAGTTGGGGTGTACGTACACCTCGCGGGGTGGCTGCTGGCGCGTCGCCATTCACTTCTTTTCAAATGTTCTTTCAAATCTGTTTCTGCAACTTTATTGTTTCTTTATCTTTTATCTTATACTTATTTGTTTGTTCATTTTATTTATTTCATTTCATTATTTTATTTATTTTCACTTTCCAGTTTTTTTCGCTTTGCCGCTTTTTCTGCAGTTGGCCGTCAGCATGTTTTACGACTTCTTTTACCTGGTGAGTTGAATCCAATTTAGGATTCAAAATAATTGAAATTAAATTTTAAAATTTATTTTTAATTTTAAATTAAAATATCAAACTAAATCCAAATTTACTTCTGCAGCTTTTACGGAAGCCGCTTTGTCTGCCGGTCTTACTTTATTTTCGTTTTATTTTTATTTTAATTTTATTTTTGCTCCATTTGATGCTTTTAATTAATTAATTAATTAATTAATTTATTTATTTATTTATTTGGTTTTATTTTTTGCAGATGTTCATGTGGTTCAAGTTGACCGTCTGGTCCTTGACGTAAGAAAAGCAAACAAAAGAAAAAAAGCAGAAACGAATTCAAACAAAAGATTTGCATTTCTGCAGAAGCAAAAAGCGCTCCAACACAAACGCTAACAAATGCAATATTCCCACTGAACTCGCACTTCCCGCACCAGCAGCAGCAGCAGCAGCAGCAGCAGCAGCGAACAGGCGCTTGCGCGGGCTCAAAAGAAAGGAAACTTCGAGTTCTTTTGCGCCAAGAACGCTGGCCGTGTGCTGCTCCCCTGCGTCTGCTGCAGCGCCTATTTGCTGCACGTGTTGTTCATGAAGAACTGGATTGGCCGGCGGACTTTATTTGCCCTGCAGCACTTCACGCAGTGCGCCGCAATAGCCTACGCCGTGGGCCACTGCCTTTACCACAAGTGAGCTGCAGCAGCGCCAAATATATATATATATATACTTCTTTTTGTCTGGTTAATAATATATATATTATTATAGTACACATAATATGTATATGATGTGCATTATATGCATAAGTATTATATATTTGAGGAAAATCGACTGAGAGTGGGTTTGGGATTTTGTAGTGTTTGTTTTGCTGCAGGTGGCCAATAATTCCTGCAGCATTTGTCCAAGTGGCTGCTGTGTGCAACTTCATGAAGGTGCTTTTAAAGACGTTCAAAAAATCATTTTAGTCTTTAAAGAAGTTCAAAAGGCTTTTTGGTCTTTTTTGGTGAAGACAAAAAGAAGCGATTCGGGCCAATTGGCCTCAGCGTATTCTTTCAAAGAAGACGGAGTTTATTAACTTTGTCTTTAGTTCGCATTTGAGTTTTATTTTAATTAGTTCTGTCTTCAGTTCCCACTTGAATATCTTTGTTTCTTCTTGCCAGTCTTTGCTGCTGAGTTTTGTTTTCCCATTTGTCGCATTGTTTCTTTTTTCTTTTCTTTGCTGCTGCTGCAGATGCACTCCTACACAGAAATCAATCTGGAGTTCCACCGAAAAAGAAATACTGCCGATGCATGCAAACACTACCCTGGCAACGTGAGCGCCGGGGTGTACAGACACCTCGCGCAGCTGAAACGCCATTCTGAAAATAATAAAAGTGATCTTCAAATTCGCTTCATTTCTGTGGAGTAAAACTAACTTCACAACAATAAAGTTAACAGTAAAGTTAAATATCTTTTATTATTTCTAAAACGGCATTTCGTCATTTCCAGAAACTCCTCGAAACCCTCTGTCCGCAGTTTCGGGTGTCTAGACACCCCGGGCCTCCAGAGCGCGTCCTCCAATCTGCCGAAACGGGAGCTCTTGGCTTTGATTAATATTAATTAATTAATTAATTTATTTATTTATTTATTTATTCTTTTCAATTTTGTTTTTCAGATCAATCTGCCAAACTTCTTCTACTACATGGTGGTCCCTTCGCTTGTCTATGAGCCGCAGTTCCCCCGCGGCAAAGGATTCCGCCCCGCCTACTTTGTTTGGAAACTCATTTCCCTCGCTAGCGCAATGGTAAGCAGCAGCAGCAGCAGCAGCAGCGGCAGCAGCAGCAGCGACAGTGAACGCAAATGCAGCAGCACACACTGTCAGCGGTTCTAGCGGCAGCAAAAGGCTGCAGGCACAAACAGCTCTCACGCCTCCTAGCTAGCTGCAGCTAGCTGCAACTAACTCCAGCTAGCTGCAGCTAGCTTACTGTAACTGGCGATAGTTTCAGCTAGCTGGAGTTACTTACAGCTAGCTGTAGTTAGCTGTAGTTAGCTATAGTTAGCTGTAGCTAGCTGTAGCTAGCTACAGCTAACTACAGCTAGCTGCAGGTAGCTGCAGCAGATGGGCAGGTGGCAGTGCGTGCGAAGGTGTAGGAGTTAAAGATTTGCGAATTAAATGAATTTGAAGGACCTGCAATTTAATTGGAACTTTTATTCCAACTTTTATTTTAGTGGAATTGTTCTTGCGATTTAATTTGAATTGTTATTAAAATTAAATTTGAATTGTTATTAAGGTTAAATTTGAATTGTTATTCAGATTAAATTTGAATTGTTATTAAGATTAAATTTGAATTGTTAGAAGTGTTATTGTAATTACATTTTGCAATTAAATCAGAACTGTTTCCACAATTAAATATGAATTCTTATTACAGAATTGTTATTGCAATTAAATATGAATTGTGGTTGCAAATAAATATAAATCACTACAATTAAATTAAAATTAATATCGCAAATAGATATGAATTGTGATTGCAAATAAATATGAATTATTGCAATAAATTGGAATCAATGATGCAAATGAACATGAATTATTACAACTAAATTATAAAATTGGAAACAAATATGAATTATGATTGCAAACAAATATGAATTATTGCAATGAATTGGAATTAATGTTGCAAATAAACATGAATTATTACAAAATTATAAAATTGGAAACATATGAATTGTGATTGCAAATAAATATGAATTATTGCAATAAATTGGAACTAAAATTGCAAATAAATATGGATTATTGCAAGAAATTAGAATTAATGTTGCAAATAAACATGAATTATTACAACTAAATTATAAAATTGGAAACAAATATGAATTGTGATTGGTGTGTGCAGACAGTGATGTACTTGGCGTGCACTTCTTACTTGATTCCGACAATAAGCCGATCTCCCCAGGTGTCTCTACTGGAGGCGATCTTCAGTTTAATATTTCCTTTTTTGTTTTTGGATCTTCTCATTTTCTTTATTCTCTTCGAATGCATTTGCAACTTGCTTGCGGAGATCACCAACTTCGCCAATCGCGACTTCTACCACGTGCGCACTGCTGCAGCGTTAGAAGCATCCAAAGGGGCTTTCGAGTTTGTTTTTAAAACAATTAATTCAATTCAATTTAATTCAATTCAATTCAATTTAATTTAATTCAATTCAATAAGTCCCTAAGTCCTGTTTTCCCGCGTTTCCAGCGGCTACTGTTGCTGCATCGCACTTTTGCAAAAAGTGCCAAAAGGCAAAGTGCATTAAAAAGGGATTTCTCCCCGCCAGCAATATTAAAAAGCCTTTCTGAATTAAAAAGAGAAGATAATTGAAGTTCAAAGAATAGTTGTGAACCGAAGAAGTGAAGCTTCCCGCGGCGAACTCCGCGCGCGCCGCCGTCGAATTTCAGGTGTACGTACACCCCGCTGCTGTGCTGCAGGACTGGTGGAACAGCACCAACTGGGATGAGTATTCTCGAAAGTGGAACAGACCAGTCCACAAGTTCCTTTTGAGACATGTCTACATGGAAACCCAGCAAAAGTACAGGGTGGGCGCTCTGCTGCTGCTGCTGCTGCTGCTCCTGGAGCTCCTGCTGCTGCTGCGGCTGCTGGGCTTGCTTCTGTTGCTGCAGTTGCTGCTGTGGGGGTCACTGTAGCTGCAGAAGAAGCTGCTGCTGCTGTCGCTGCTGCGCGCGCTTTTGTTGCTTTTGCTGCTTTCTTGTCTTGCCTGCCGCTGCTGCTGCTGCTGCTGCTGCTGCTGCTGTTCTTCTGGGGGCTGCTTTGCATCCACAATTAGATAATTGGTTTCAATTTTCATTTTTGTTTTTATTTCTGTTTGCTGCAGTGGAGCCAACGCAGCGCCGCGTTGGCCACTTTCCTCTTTTCCGCTCTTCTCCACGAAATGATAATGGTGAGAAAGCTGTTTGTTTTTAAATGGCACTGAAATTAAATTTTACTTTTAATTTTAATTTTAATTTTAACTAAAATCAAAATTTAATTCTAATTTGAATTTCAAATTCTGAAATATTCCCTTTGGTCCAGTGGACCCTTTTTGCTGCGCTGGCCAAAACGGGAAAAGACATCTGCAAAGAGAATTTTCATATTTGTCTGTCACAAGTTTATCTTTCTTGTCTTTTAACGCGAAAGACTCATTTACCACTGCTGCTGGTGCCGCTGCTGCTGCTGCTGCTGCTGCTGCTGCTGCTGCGTAGGCTGTGTGCCTGCGGTTCGTGAGGTTCTACCTGTTTGCGCTGATGCTGCTTCAAATCCCCTTGGTGGCCTTGGGCCGATACTACACGCACAACCGCTGCCTCGCAAATGCTATCTTCTGGGCCTGCATGCTGCTCGGTGAGCCCGCTGTACAGACACCCCACGCTGTGCAGACACCGCGGGGTGTACAGGCATCGCGGGGTGTACAGGCACCGTGGGGTGTACAGACACCGCGGGGTGGACAGACACCCCAGGCTGTGCAGACACCCCACGGTGTACAGACACCGCGGGGTGTACAGACAGCCCACGCTGTGCAGATACCGCGGGGTGTACAGACACCGCAGGGTGTGGACACACTGCAGGGTGTACAGACAGTGCAGGGTGTGCAGACACTGCTGGGGTGTACAGACACCTCGGGTGGCTGTCTTGAGATTTCCGGGGTGTCTGTACATCTCCGGAGTGTCTATACACCTCCGGGGTGTACAGATACCTTCCGGGTGTATAGACACTCCGAGGTGTATAGACCCGCTGCGGTGTCTAGACCCCGGAGGTGTATAGACACCCCGCGGGTGGGGCCGCAGGGCCCCCAGAGGGCCCCTTGAGGCTTCAGTTTTGCTGCAGTGCTGCGCCCTTCAGCTGCTGCTGCTGCTGCTGCTGCTGCTGTTGGGTGCTGCGGCTTTCAGGCGTCCCGCTGCTGGCGGTGGCTTACGGGAGGGAATTTGCTCAAGAGCATTTTTACAGTGACACGAGTGGCTGGCAAGAACTGAAAGAAATAAATAAATATAAATAAATAAATAAAAATGAGTAAATGAATAAACTGGCAGTCACTTCACTTGGGGCTGCATGCGGCTGCGGGCTGTCTCGTCAGTGGTGGCTGGCTGGGTCCCGGCTGCTGCTGCGCAGCAGGAGCAGCAGCAGCAGCAGCAGCAGCCGCTGCTGCTGCTGCTGCAGCAGGCCAGTTTGCCTACCAAGGGGCGGGCAGCTGCGGGCCCGGCTACAGAGACAGGCTGGGAGCAGCAAGCAGCTGCAGGGCGAGCTGCTGCGTCGCGTGCATGCAGAAGACGCAGCTGCATGCGCGAGTGAGTGCAGCAGCAGCAACAGGCAGTGCTGCAGCCTCCGCAGGCGCTGGCAAACAATGTTGCGGAAGAGGAAAAGAAGTGAAGAGACGCAAAAGAAAAGAAATGAGAGGTGCAAAACAAAGGGCCCCTGCAGCTGCGGGCTGTGAGGAGGCCGTCTTGGCGCTGTTAGAGGCGTCTTGTGCGCCAGTTCGAACTTGGCTGCAACTGCAACTTTTGCTTTTCGAATTTGTACTTCAGTTATAATTGCTGCAGCAGCTAGCGAGTCGCAGCAGCAGCCAAGGCCTGGGAAACGCGAGAAGAGCCGCGGAGGGCCGCGGTTTCTGCATTCCCGCGGCAGTTCGGGACGCAGCACCAGCGAGTTCCGGCTGATCTGCGGCCCGCAGCGGGGGAAATAGTCTTTTGTTACTGAAATAATTCAACTTTAATTATTCGTGCGGAAAAAATGAGCGTTTAGGGCCGCTTTAGGGCACAAGAGTGCAGGATTCCGGAAGATTGCTTTCCGGCGAACAGGTGCCGACGCGCTGTCTGTACACCCCGGCGTAACGCGCGTCCGGCCGTGATCCCGGCACCGAACTCGAGGAACAGATGAATAAAAAGTCCGTTTCTTTTGTGTTTGCGTTGGAGTTTGCTTTTGCGTTCGCGCGGAGCAGGAGGAGTTGCTGAATCGACGGGCGGCTGGCGACGGAGCGGGGAGAGCGGCGCTTTTGTCGCAGATGGACTTGTGAATTTGTTCTTAAATTGAATTTTAATTTGAATTTCTGAAGAAGTTTCCTTTTTGGAGCGCCGAAGAAACTTCCCAGAGCCGGTTCGATGGTGCTTTCGTCGCGCCCGGAGATCGGCTTCGCTGGTGGTGGCAGCGGCGGCCGCTGGGCAGCTGCGGCCAAACTGCAGCCCTTTCGGACTTGGCTGTTTATTTTCTTTTGCCATTTTGTCCAATAAATTCCAAAAGATCTTTTAATTGCAGATCTTGACGCGACGCAGCCCGCACCCCGCCGGCTAGCGATCAGCGCCGCAGCGCAGCAGCAGCCGCAGCCGCCAAAGCGCAGCCCCTAGACCCCGCTCTTGTTCTCATTTGAACTTTTTGTTTATATACAACAGCAAAGCCCCTTTGCTTTTTCAGCAACTCCGCGCCTCTGCTGCTGCGGCGCTGCTGCGCGCCTGCTGCTGCTGCGCCGCTCGCCGCTCCTGCTGCAGCAGCAGCCCGCGCAATGTGACCACTGGACCTGACCACTGGTCACCCCCAGCAAGCCCCGGCCCCCTGCCCTCAACCCACAATGACTGCAGACTGCAGGGGGCCCTCCCGGGGCACCGGGGGCACTCTGGGCGAGGGGGGGGCCCCCCGGACGGGCCCCCTTCTTCACACTGAAGACCCCCCCTCTCCAAGACCCAATGAAATCCGGTACATCCCCGCGCGCTTCGTAGATACGCCTCGCAGCAGCGCAGCAGCAGCAGCAGCAGCAGCAGCGGCGCCGCCCTCCTCTTCCCCCAACTCCGCGCGACAGCCTCCTCCGCAAGTCCCCCCTGTTCCCATCAATGTGCTGAGGCCCACCAGCAGCAGCAGCAGCAGCAGCAGCAGCAGCAGCAGCAGCAGCAAGAAGGCGGCCGGACCTAGTGCGCCCCGGGCACTGCAGCCTCACTACTTCGTCGGATCTGCAGCAGCAGCAGCAGCAGCAGCAGCAGCAGCAGCGGGGCCCGCAGCAGCCACCCTGAGGCCCTTGCTGAGTGCCGGGGCCCCTCTGCAGAAACTCCCCGTGGACTCCCCGCAGTGCAGGTGGGGGGCCCCCCCCCTGACCACTCCGAGGACCACCAGTGGACCACTGGTCCACTGCCCCCTGAGCGCACCTCTGGCTGCTGCGGGCTACGCGCAGCAGCAGTTCGCGGACAGCAGTTGCCCCCTAGAGCTGCGCAGCAGCAGCACGCCGTCGGGGGCCCCCCTGGGGGGCCCCCCGGGGGCCCCCCGGGGGTCCCCCCTAGGGTACCGGCTCGTGGGCACTGTCCCCGAGTGCATGCAAACAGTGACTCGCTATCGGCTGCCACGGCCTTCGCTGCAGCCGCTGCTGCCGATGAAGGAAGTTGAACTTTGTTCTTACTTGCAGGGGAAGCCGCGGCTGCCGCCGCAGCCGTCTGTGACTAGGGTGAACGCGCTGCTGCTGCTGCTGCTGCTGCTGCTGCTGCTGCTGCTGCTGCCGCAGTGGTCGCTTAAGAATGCAGTTTGCTTTGCGGATTCGTGCGATGAGTTCAAACGGATTTCCAACCCGGCAGCAAATTGCTGCTCCACTCTGTGGGCTCTTTGCCGCCGCTGCGGCGGCCAAGGCGGCCACAAAAAGAAAGAGATGAATTACAGAAAGTCATTTGAATTGTGCTGCTGCTGCGTGCGGGTGTATGTACACTAGATTCCTGCACTGCAGCACACTTCTGAAGACGTGCATGTTCATGTTCACATTCATGATTACAGACATGCAAGTGCACATTTACCCGAGACGTGACATTACATTAAATTATATTTGCATATTTGCTTCTGCATGCATGCGAATTCGCTTGTCTTGCTGCTGCTTCCTGCGCTACTTGGATTGGCTGCTGCGGGCTTATTGGGGGCAGAATTTGGGGTGTCTGGGTCCATTTTTCGCGCGATCTCGGCGTAAATGGATTAAAAATGGAAATGAATTTGAATATTTGGAGAGATTTGCGCAATAAAAGCGAACTTAGCGGCGGAAACAGCATTTCGGGGCTTCTGCATGCATGCGGGCTGTGTGCTGCAGTACATTATGCCCGCCACGGGCAAGCCGCCGCGGCGGCGCTGCGTCGCCGTGGGCCGCAGCAGCAGCATCTGCCAAGACTGGCTGCTGCCGTGTCTAGACACTCTATTTGCTGCTTTTAGTCGGGCCTGCAGCTGCGACGTAGACCTCCTTCCGAGCGGGGAGCTAGGCGGGGGCCCCGCCGCCGTTTACGACGTCCCGCTGCTGCAGCAGCAGCAGCAGCTCGGCGACGCCGTTTGCCTCCGCTGCGGCGCCACTGTCGACTCCCAGGCCCTCCGCAGCCCCTGGCCAGCCCCCCCCCGGTCTTTATATTCTTCCGCGCTTCCTGCTGCTGTCTTCAAGTCCTCAGACCGCCTCCACGAGCAGCAGCAGCAGCAGCAGCAGCAGCAGCAGCTCGAGTCCGGCAGAATCCCCCTACCCAACTTCTCCTGCGTCCCCGCGGCTCCCGAGCCCGTCAAGGTGAACTTCTTTTCCCTTCCTTTTCTTCTTTGCTTTTTTTTTTCTTTTTCTTTTATTTTTTCCAAACTTCTCCACTCTTTTCTTTTTCTTCTCCAACTCCCCACAGCAGCTTGCGGAGGTGCCCTGGCCTCCGCGAGCTGCTCTCCATGTTGCATGCAAGGGGGGGCCCCCTCCGTTTGAAGTGTGGGGCCCCCCTGGAGTGTGGGGCCCCGTTCTTGCTGCAGGTGCTGCGGGGCGCGTTCCTGCTGCGGGTGTGCATTGCTGCTGCTGGCAGCAGCACTTGTCAGTGTGGGTGTTGGCTTCTGAATTTCGCGCTGCAGCGCAGCAGCAGCAGCAGCAGGGAAAGCCGAACTTGCAAGTTGAATGACTTTCTCCTTGTGCACGATCCTCTGCTTTTGGGGCCCCCACGGGGCCCCCTCGCGGGCACTTCTGTTATTTTTCTTTTCTTGTTTTGCTTCGCAATTTGTCTGCAGCGGACCAAAGAAAAAAGACCACTGGACCCCTCCAGCCGAGCCGTTCAAATTGGACTGCGGAGAAGCGCAGCTCTGGGGTTTCCCACGGACGACGAGGGGCTGGTGGCTTTGCCAGCCTTCAGTTTGGGCGAGGCAAAGTGAAGGCACCCAAGGAAAGCAAGCAGCACCAGCAGCA